TTGTTTTCTTGGTTTTAATTTTGTATCCTGCTACATCGCTGAATTTAATTTTTTTTTTTTTGGTGGAGACTAGGTTTTTCTATGTACAATATCATGTAATTTGTGAATAATGACAGTTTTAATTCTGCTTTTCCAATTTGGATGCCTTTTATTTCTTGTCTGATTGCTGTGGCTAAGACTTCAAGTACTATGTTGAATAAGAGTGGTAAATCTTGCCTGGTTGTTTTGATTTGCATTTCCCTGTTGATTCGTGGTGTTGAACACCTTTTCATGTGCCCGTTGGCCATTTGCAGTGCAGAGCTTTGGAGAAACGTCTGCTCAGGTCCTGTGACCATTTTGTCATTGGGTGATGGGGTTATTTTGTTTTTTTGCTATTGAGTTGTATGCGTTCCTTAGATATTTTAGATATTAACCACTTATTAGTATATGGTTTGCAAATATTTTCTCCCATTTCATAGGTGGTCTTTTTATTTATTTATTTATTTTTACCCATTGTCTTTTATATATATATATATAAATATTTTATTGATTTCTTACAGAGAGCAGGGGAGAGGGACAGAGAGTCAGAAACATCGATGATCAAACCGCGGAGGAGTGTACATACCACTCTCCTGATTTAGTGGGAGGGGTTCTCTGGGCACATCCTCCCTCTAACTCCTTCAGCGAGTCCTGGGACTGTGGCACCGGGCCAGGTCCAGCCCCGCACGCCTGGCCCCTGCAGTGAGCTCTGGAGAAAGGCCAGTGACCAGCCCAGGGGAAGGACCAACCCAGAGCCCTTCAAAGTGCAGGCTGTAAGCTGTGGGTGGGCGAGGTCGGCACGGCTAGAAGTCAGACGCAAGGAAGAACTTCCTGGCCCACAGTGAGAACCTGCAGCCCGGGAGGGCAGGTGAGCAGAGCTGTGGCTCAGCAGCCTCCCCTCCCTGTCAGCCTCAGTGGCCCCTGACGGGTGGCCCCGGCTGCCCACAGGTACCACATGGCGTACCTCAGCGATGGCGCCTGGAGCCCGGTTAGGCCGGCGGTGTTCTTCACCACCAAGATGGACGGGACCCTGGACATCTGGGACTTCGTGTTCAAGCAGTGTGACCCCGCCCTCAGCCTGAAGGTCACGCACACCCTCTCCCCATGCAGCCGGATCAGGGGTGGGGAACCTTTTCTCTGCCCGGGGCCGTTTGAATATTTATAACCTCGTGCACGGGCCAAAATCATCAGCTTAACAGTTAGCCTGCTCAGCGTTTAATGAAGGCACCCCTCATGCCCTCATGCCTTGGCAGGGCCAGACCAAATGGTTCTGTGGGCCTCCTACAGCCTGCGGGCCAGACATTCCCCACCCTGATCTAGGCCCGCAGGCCCTGGTGGCATGGATGAATGTGAGGCTGAAGGGGGGGTGGGGAGTGTGTGTGTGGGGGGAGACGAGGTGGAAGATGAGGTTTGGGAGGGAGGGACAAAGGGCCCTGACAGCCAGAAGCAG